TTTCTAGCCTTTGGGTAACTTTTAACAAATCTTCACATACCCGCAATATATCCCCACATTTACAACGTAGCTGTGGCCCCCACTTTTGCGTGGCTGGCCTCTTTTTAGTAACCCATTGCAAAAACCACATCAGCGCCACCATTAGCACTCTACTAAAACTCATTCTCAGTTTTGTCATATCCTGTCAGACTATGCCAATTCTGTGATGCTAATTCTCTCTGGGTATCCTGCGTGATCAGACAAACCATATAATATATTTTATGTGTATTTATTAACTTACAAAGGAATGAGTACCCAGTGCATAGCCCCTCACCTACCTCAGAGCCCACGTTATCAGACAGTGCCATGCCTATAATTCGCTCAAGCCTCTGGGGCCAGCGATCGCCCCAGATCCATTAAAAGTCAGTCCATTCTGTCCTTCAGCTCTTGGGTGGAGCAGTCCCACAGCTCATGTGCTTCCCCACGGGTCGTGGCTTCCCCATGGCTCAGGGCTTCTCCCACTCAGCTCAAGGCTTCCATTTCAAGATGTATCTCAGCCACACCCCCATAGTCCACACTTTGTGGCAGGCCCCACCCATTGGAGGAACTAGCTGATCAGGAGATAACTCTGTATGTTTAAGTTCTCTGATATTAAATACAAATGTGTCTAGAATGATTGCAACTTGCCAAACTGACCCTTCTATTTTTATATAATGAGCTACTTGGTTTCTTTTCCTTGCTTTTGATTTAAATCTATCTACTGTAAATAGGGCTAATTATTACACAGTATACATTTTCTAGCCTCTTTATTTTTAGTTTATGTTGGTCCTTAAAGGTGATCTGAGTTTTTTGTAAGCAGCACATAGTTGAATCTTTTTTTTCTTTTATCCATCACTTCAGGTATTTCCCTAAGTTGTTCTCTTCACAGAAGGGCTCACTCTATATTTCTATTTTGCTTCTTGTTTTCTAATTGTTTTGTATTTCCTACATTTCTCCCTTTTTTTGTGGTTAAGTGAATTTCTACAGTAATATATTTATTTATTTTCCATTTATCATTTTTGGTTTATCTATTATTGATTTTTTTTGTGTGCTATGAGAATTGAAGGATACCTCTTTTGATTATAGCAAATTATTTTGGATGATAGCCACTTAGCATTCACATAAAAACAATGAAAATTTTTTAAAAAGGTAAAAACACTAACTTAAGAAAACTTTATTCCATTCCATATATCTTAATTTAATGTTGTATTTTATACCTTTTATATTGCCTATCCCTTAATATATTAAATCAATTATTATTTTTGGTTGGTTTTGTTTTTAGTTTTCATCCTAAATATGAGCACCTTGTTTATAATATTAAAACTTTCTAAATTTATAGTTACTATTACCTTATAATGTTTTCTTAACTTTATGTTGATTGATTTATTGATCAACTAATTGTGTGTTTATTGATGTGTGTGTGTGTTGGTGGTGGTGGTGGTGGTGGTGATGGTGGAGCATATGTGTGCATGTGTGTGTGTGTGTGTGTGTATGTGCGTGTGTGTTTCTGTGTGGGTGCATACATGCTACCCAAAATGCATATATGGACAACTTAGGGGAATTGCTGTTCTCTAACATATAAGGTTCTAGGGTTAGAAGTCAGGCTGTCAGCCTTGGTAGGAAGCACCTTTGCCCACTGAGCTGTCTTGCTGGCCCTTTACAGTATTTTCATCCTATTTCATAGCATTTATTTCTGTCATTCAATTTGAGGAACTCCCTTTAACATTTTTTTGTAAAACAGGTGTGGTGCTGATACGTTCTTCTAGGTTCTGATTATCTTAGAATCTAGGGTTATCTCTCCTTCATTTCTAAAACACAACTTCCCTAGGCATTGTATTCCTGGTTGACAGGTTTTTGTTTCATTTTTTTCTGGTTTGTTTCCTTACCACTTTCTTCTGTCCTGAATGATTTCTGCTGCAAAGTCTACTGTCAGGTGAGTTGGAATTCCTTTCATGTATATTATTTGTTTCTTTTCTCTCGTTGTTTTAAGAATCCTTTCTCTGTCCTTAACCATAAAGAGGTTGATGATAATGCTTTGGGATAGACTTGGCTGTGTTTAATCTGATGGGTGACCTCTGACCCTGCTGTGCTTCTAGGTTTGGAAGGTTCTGTAGTAACATCTCCTTGGATAAAATTTCTTCCCCTTTTGGCACTCTCAGGTCTCCATGGGCCCAGGCTTCCTTGGGCTTTCTTCTTCCTCTTCTTTTTCTGCATCTTCAGGTAGTCTGTCTGTGAGCACATGGATTCTTCTGCTTTTCCTCTTCTGGTATTAATGGCTCTTTTATTTATATTTTTGTGATCACTTCAATCTTTATATGAAGTTTCTCTGATAAATCACCAAATTGTTTCTCTCTGTTTTCTTGGAATTTGTTGAATTTCCTTGAAACAGTTGTTTGAAGTCCTCTGTTCAAGAGTTCACACATCTGTTCTCTTGTTAGTTTCTGGCCACATATCTTGTGCAGGTGAAGTCATGGTTCCCTGAAAGGTCCTGATGCCTACTGGTGTATGGCTACATATCCGCCTGACTAAAGAATTAGGTACTTATTCTTTCCTTCATAATCTAACTCCATTTGTGTCTTTCCTTCCATGAATTCTAAGCAAGCTGCTCATTGTCTCTGAGCCTGTGACCTTCTTTGGTATTAGATGGGATCTTAAAACCAAGCTTTTCTTGGATTTGTGTTAGTGCGTTGACATTGTTTCAGTGCTAAAAGATGTCCCAAGTCCAGGTTTGCTCCAAATTAGCTGTTGATGGTTGGGATGTACTGGGGAAATACAGTCAGGGTGTAGTAAATTCCTGCAAGCTTTGACCTAGTGTCCTAGAAAATCTTATCTATAGTCATAGATCTATTAGCAGGTGTCACAGGAAACACTCTGCCACTGGGTCTCAGCACAGAGGGACTGTTCCTAGGATTCTATGCAACAACTTGTGAAGAAGTTCCTCTTCTTCACCCAAGGGGACAGACACTTTCTCCATTGACCTTAATAATAACTGCCATTCTGTGTCTCATCAATGATACTTCAACTCACCAACACCAATGCAGCACAGAGGCATGGCCAAGGCTCACACTGTTAAGGATTGCCTCCTTTTATGGCACACTTGTGGCTTAGGATTGATGAAGTAAACTGGAACTGATGCTGGGGGAAAATAAATCTGTCTTGGGACTGTGGACCATTACACGGCACCAGAGGCATTCAGAGTTTCCATCCATGAGATCATTCTGCTGTTGACATTTACTGACCTGGCACTAAGTTCTAAAACAAAGTCCTATGCTTAATTTTATGTCCTAATGCCCAGAAGATCTTCTTCTGTATATTGGACTCCATTAAGGTAGGGGAAGGCTGGGGGAGGCTGGGGGAGGACTGATGGCAGTCCTTTACCATAAGGACACCATCAGTTCAGAAGTTCTGTCTATAGGGGCTGGTTTAGGAATAGAGACACTGAGGTTTTGCTGGTATTTGCATGGTATTAGGATTACCATGGTGGATAGGTCGTGGGTTCCAAGTCCAAAGACTGAAAGTAATTGTCTCTCCTTCCTCCAAGAAGATGTCTCTGTCCACACTGTACTGCTTGGGGGAAGGGGTGATGAAGGTGACTCCTTCCTTCTTTCCCTTCTTCTTCAATACATCTTTTGCTATTATGGTAAAATCTTGGACTGTGGTCTCTTACCTGGTTCCTTTAGATCTTAGGAAGGTATTTTAGCATAAGAAGACATGTCCAAACTGACAATTCTATAGTGAAGTGATTGTTAAAAGGCACTATAGCCATCTATTTTTACTTCTAACTTTACTTTCTCTTTGATATAGTTTATTATATAATTTAATATACCTAATTACTGATTACTTAATAAAAGATATTTTCACTTCTTAAATTTGTTTATATATCAGTTTTTCCCATCATGTCACTACTTTTAAGATCTGAATTGTTTCACTTCTTATGAACACTTAGCAACATCTAACACTGCAGTAAAATGAATTTTCAGGATAATCCATAGAGTTGAGATATATTCCCCCATTTAGTTTAGATTGCACTGGAATCTAAACTTGTGAATAAATGACAATCTAAAGGTTTGACTTTTCAGATTTCTTTGTTCACATAATTAATAAAGTCCATATTCCTTAGCATGAGTTTTTATTATATCATTTTGTCATTGGAATACAATGAGTTTACTTTGACATCAGAATTTTCAATTTAAGAATTAAAAATGTGAGAACTCGTAGATGTGGGATCTGCTAATTAGCATAGAAAGAAAAGGGTTTTCTTGTGGCATTTTCATGCATACTTCATCCTCCCTACCTACTTTCCTTTTCAACCCCCACCCACCTTCTGCTAGTCCCCTTCCCCATCCAACACCCTCACTTCAGCTTCCATGTCACATTTATTATGTCACCTTCTCCACTGACCGCTAAGATCTCTTCTTCCCCTTCTGTAGTTACAATTCTAGCTTCGTGACACATATATGGGATTGTAAATATCTATGTGGGACTTTCAACCCTTCAAGTCAGAACCAAAAGTTGTATAGGTAGTAGTACGGTAGTTCTAGTTTTAGGTTTTTGAGAAACACTGGATATTGGTTTCTGCAGTGGCTGTACAAGTTTACACTTCCACTGACAGTGTATAAGGGTTACACCTCCCATGTCCTCAGCAGCATTTGTTGACAGAGATTTCTCTTGATGTTTCCTATTCTGTCTATGAAGAGATGGAATCTCAAAGCAGACTTAGTTTCTAAGCTAAGGATGCTGAAGACTATTTAAAATATTTACTGAAGGGCTGGAGATATGGCTCAGTGGTTAAGAGCACTGACTTCTCTTGCAGAGGACCAGGGTTCAATTCCCAGCATCCACATGGCAAGTAACAACTGTTTGTAACTCCAGTTCCAGAGGATCCGATGCCCTCTTCTGACCTCTTCAGGCATTGCAGGACATGGGTGGACTTACATACATGCAGGCAATACACACACATACATCAAATAAAATAAAAATAATAAAAATAAAATATTTAAAATATTTATTGACTGTTTACATTTCTTCTTTTGAGGATTTGTTATTCAGTCTAGTGTAGCAGAGGCCAGAAGAGGGTGTCAGGTCTTCCTGGAACAGAGTAACAGCCAGTTGTGAGCTGCCTGATATGGGTGCTAGGAAACAATCTCAATTCTTCTCATTGGAGTGTGCAATAGAAAAAGATTATATAGAATTCAAGTGTCCATAAAAAGGATACCAAGTAAATAAATTTTGTTAAATATGTGCAGTACATTAAAATTAGTTATAAACTCTGGTATATCTATTTATTAAATAAATTCATATACTTATGTCTAGGCACTGTAGTAGACATTAGGAATGGATAAAATAGTTTTTAAAATCAAATATCTATTGCCCTATAGTTATAATTATAGTTAGTGGTCAGAGGCAATAAACAAATTATGATGGCTACTTCTGTTTTGACTTTCTTGTTTTTTGAAAGCAGGTAAGAACAGAGTATGGTAATATTAAGTTGTTATATTTAAAATAAGAATGCCTTTTGAG